CACACACACATACGCACGCACGCATCCACGAACGTCACGAACAAGAGCGCACAAAGGGCAGGAGGAGGAAAGAACAACTCGGTTCCCTGCGTTCGGCTCTCTCTCTACCGGCGATAACTTACCCCCGAGACGTGGACGAGCTGTCCACCTAAATATAACTTGCGCGCACGTGCCAAATTGACGACAACCCAAAACAAAACGGAGGCGACAGGTGTTTACGAAGCAGACAGGGTGCGACAAAGAGGAAAGCAGGCAGGCCAGGAAGAACAAAAGGAGATGGCCAGAACAGAAGACGCGCCAGAAAAAGAACGAGGAGAAGAACAGACATGAGTGTTGAAATTACGCGGATTTCAAAAGAAAAAGAAAAGAGGAGAAAAAGGGGAGGAAATTACATGGACTGCATGCACTGAAAATCACAAAAAGCCCTATATATTGTCACACAGTAAATCAGAGCGCGAAGGCGGAAAAAAGCAAAACAAGGAAAGGAAAAGAAGGAAGGAATATACATACAGGATATATATATCGTCACAAACAGAACTGCCCGGTAAACCGTAGGCAGAGGATATATATAGGATATATATATAGGATATATATATAGGATATATGTATATATCGTCACATAAATATATGTATATATATTACAAAAAGGACGAAAAGGTGCTACGTACGGGAGGCACTGCACTCGCTTCGCCGGTATTGCTCCTTAACGTTCTGGCTGTGTCGGCAATTTCGCTTTCACCTCGAGCTCTCACTTCGCCCTCTATCCTCTCTCTCCTCTCCCTCTCCTCTCACCGTAACCCCACCCTCCCCTCTCTTCCCTCTCTTTCCTCTCTCTCCTCCCTCTCATCTCACTCCTAACCCTGCCCTTCTCTCTCTGTCTCCTCCCTCTCCTCTCTCCTCTCTCCTTCAATGTGCTCTTCCCTCCGTTGTGCCACTTCCCTCCACCCGCTCGCAGGCGGTTCCTAATAGTAGTGCCCTGGATGTGCATCGGCCCTATGGCATGGGAAGTGAGGGGTAGGCCTTCCAGGTGCTACCGGTAGGTTCATGCTTGTAGGGCCCGGCCTTAGTAACAGTCTCGTGCTTTCCTACCATGAATATAGCACCGGTGATGCCTGGCTCTCCCTCTACTGATGGTGCCGAGTCTTGGCACCGTTCGCCGTCCGCCAAGATTCCGAATGCATCCGACGCATATCCTGGACAGATGCATTCAATATGTTGCCAGATGGCGAGTGGTACAACAAAGCCCATAGGCACGGGCCTTTTGACCCTTCGCTCCTCATCTACACCCCTTCCTGTCAGCGTCTGTACGGGCCCCCCTGTACCCTCAGCATTCTTTTCTATTTCGGTCAGCATCTTTTCAGGCCGTACCCCGTGAGGCGTTTGAAAAGGACAAACTAGCCCGGTCACCATGCACGCGTCGGGATACAGACACTCTTCCCGAATCCAAAACTGGTGCATTCCAAGGCGGTTAATTTTGTCTTTTTTTGGGGGGGGTTGGGGGGAACATTTTTTTATTTCAAACCTCTGAGGGCTGTTGATGTACTTAAGAATGGGCATCCCTTTCCCAAAAAAAAAAAAAAAAAAGAACGGGCATCCCTGCACTGCTCACCAACTACACAATATGGAGAATGAATCTTTGCCTAGAACATTGTAAAGATACACCCATCATACCTTTTGTCATTTTCACATTTGGTGGCTGGTGCGGTAATAAGGCCACTATTTCACCTTTTT